CCTCCCTCCCGCTCTTTTTCATTTAATCTCCTTTGGAAAGAAACAGTTCAATAGCTTTTTTTACACTTCAGTATCTGTACTTTCTTTAGTTTAAGAACACAGTGAGTTAGTGACAGCATTGAATTACATTAGCTTGACATTCTGATACATTTCTGATACAACACACAGTGTTATTTATAAACTATATATTTAATAAAGTCGTGGTGGGTTTGCAGTGAAATTAAGTGAATTTTTACAATTTAGTTTCCTCTTTACGAATATTAGGATATTTCTAAGGATAATTTCAATGTGATTTTTACATTCATAGGTAATAAATTCAATGATTAAAAGATGTGTGAGTGTAAGGACAGAACCTGTGAGGCCATTTTATTGATCTTACAGCTGTTGTTTTATCATCTTTAAAGTACCCTGCAATCTCTTTCTCAAAAGAACCACAAGAATAAAGTTGAGTTGTTTGCCGACAGTTTCCTTCTTTTAACCCGTCATCACTTGTATGTGGTGTTCATCAATTTGAGCTAATTAACAACACTTGGGATAAATAAAACACAAAGAAATGCGTTTAGATGTTGCAATAAAGTCGGATTCCCTCATCAACACTGAAGACATTTACACACATATTGTGTTACTGGTTCATTGTAGTTGAAATAAAATGATGAATGTTGATAAATCACATTAGGACCAGTGGGCAAGAGGAGCTTTCAACGACTGCTCTGCACATTATAAGAGGTCACTAGGCCACAAGGCAGATAAGCACTTTACAAATTGTGTTATGAAGAGACAAAACATTGTCGATTTAGCGTATATTGAGATGACAAACACACACAGACACACACACACACACACGGGCACACCATAAGTGTCTAGTCCAGACCAGGAATTAGGCAGACTGATTGGTGAGTGACAACTGAAATTGAATTTCTCTGCAGTGAGAGCCCAAAGGACTCAAGGGGGGAGAAACACACAAACTCAAATGTGGGTATTGACACACGCACACACAAGCATGGAAAAGCGCGCACACACAGACACATGCATCAGCATGAACAATTACTGAATAATTGCTGTCACAAAGACGCACCCTTTCTCTCAGTGTCACTCTCTCTTTTGGTTTTCGCTCAAATGCACACGCACACACACACACGCACACACACACACACACAAACTCCCATCCTCACAAGTCCCTCCTCTCCAATTTACTACCAAAGCTGTCTCTTCACTGCGGATCTCTTTTTTTACCATTACAATCAGAATTGCATCTGGCAAGTCTTAACAAAACCCAAAGTTTGAGGAAGGCCTTCATGAAATTGCTGCCAGTTAGATGAGATTTCAATGGAGGTGAATGGAAATGGCAGCAGGAGGCAGAGAAGCAGCAACTCCATACTTTTTTTACCACCGATATTGAGATGATATGATAAGCAGCTGATATTGAAACAACGTCACAAAACATAATTTTATAGTTGAGGATGGCTCAACACACCGTTTTCTGATTTGATTCGGCCCCAATGGCGCAAGGCCGACTTCCAGATAGGGTTGACCAATTGGAACTAATCTACGCTGTGAAATGACAGAAAATTACTGTAATTTCGAGAGAGCGTGGCGTCCGTCAGTGCCAGCTGAGTCTACTGGTCCCTCTACCTTCCCCCGAAGAGACTTCAGCCGGAGGATCGTTTGCACTGGCGAGTTTGGCGTTCAAGCCACAACGATCCGCTTCCAAAAGCTGCAGACCTCCATCATCCGGCAGCGTGGAGTGAGGCTGTAAAGACAGCGGGTGCACCATCTGGCCAACTCTTGACTCATTTGAGGTCTGACAAACTGTAAATTCATCAAATTCACTGTTCGACATCATCATGTTCCAAGCTGTTGTAGTTCAGCCAACAAGCTTTGCGATGGCAGTCATTTTATGGGAAAATAACAAGCGCACGACAACGCAAAAATCTGTAAATATCTGAAAAGAAACCTGCAGCACAGTAAAAAATATAATCCAAGATCAAAATGAAGGAAAAAAACAATCTTTAGTCAACTAATCATTTTGAGAGTCACTGAAAAAAAAAAAAACAAACAGCCAAATTGAATGATTTTTGTAATAATGCCATACACATGATTTGTTTTTGCTTTTAGGGTAGATCACACACACCTGAGTGGTGAAGAGCACACAGGAGGCACTTAAGAGAGCAACTCATGTTGGCTCTACCAGTAATTAACCTGCTTCAATGCAGCTAAAAATAACTTAACTTAATAGGTCAACATGTCTGCTGTGAAAAACAAAGACCGTCCGATTCAAGGCGTCTTTGTTTAATTGTTTACTATCCACAGGGAATTCTAATAATGCTAATTGCGGATTAGCTGACACTTCTACTTTTGCCAGCGTGCCTCTGGTGAGAACAGCAGTACGAGAGCAAACACAACTGTTCTCACGCCAGCGATTGTTTATTTTCTTCCTTTTTTTCCAAGATGTATTTTACAGCTAAATGCAGTAAATTCTATGAAATGCTAATACAGTTGTTATGTGACATTTGTATTAATGCTTCTACCAAATATCACTGTATGTGTGTGTGTGTGTGTGTGTGTGTGTTTGTGTAGAATAGACCGCAGGCTTTGTTTTGGGGTCACATCATAGCAAATGGATACTATTTGTTGGTGGTAATGGTGTTTACGTATCTTAACTGCGATGCATTTTAGCCACAATGACCACATTGTCATACGACATACGGACCACTGTGATATTACTGTGGGAATTTGTGACACTGTGACTTATGAAGGGATATTGTTCGTCTCGTAAATACTCTGCATGCTGTATCTCATGCTGCCCACAAACACACTATACAGGTTATATATTGCTGTGCTGTATGTCTGGGAAATTCTTTTTTCCTGTGGATAACCAGAAATTCCTCCAGGCTGCCTCCGTCAGGTCATTATCCAGTGCCTTCCCCTCCACGAGGCAGTGAGACAGACACCACGCCGGGTCTCCCAGGACGTCCGCGGCGGAGGACAGGAGGGAGAAGCTGAGGCTGGATGTTCAGACACTATATTTAAACCACATGCAGACGGACACTTACTCGACCCGTCAGCGCTCTCTGTTCTTCTCCTTATTCATTACTCGCTGCTTCAGCCCATCATCCCCACCTCACGGCTCTCCTTCCCCTCAAACTATGTAGCAATCCAATCTTTCTCTGCCCGTCTTATTGCTCGTCTTGGTTTTGTTACGCTTTGTTCTCCCTTGGCTGTTGACGACACCGATGTCTGCTCGGCCCGTCAATCTCTTTTTCAAACTTCTCCATATAGCGCTGCTAGATTAATAGCTGGGCTGCTGCAGGGATTCTGTTGCCGAAGACCACACAGGATATTAATGTACACAATAGGTAGTTCAATAGCGGTCAAAAGGCTGTCAGCTGTGAGAAAACAGGGCCTATGAGTCAAGAATTGATGTGAATTGTGCCTTTTTATAACACTGTGGTCTTTCTTCTATGTTTGCCTTGAAGTCCATTTTCACATTGCAGGCATTACACATCTCTCAAACTTGAAGGGCGAAGCAAAAATGTAAAGAATCAAGGAAATGACATTGCCTTTGAAAATGAGGAAGGCACGGCGCTTAAGAGGAAATGGAAATGTTGAAGACAAATACGAACAGAATATAAACACTCAAACCCATAAAACACTTTCATCAGACCTTCATTACTCCTCACTGACTGATGTTGCTGATAAATACGAAAGAATTTACGCTTCACATAACATGATCTCAAAAATGTTTAACCCATTTTCTTTACTTTTTCACTTGTATTTATTCAACTTTTGTTTTTTAACTCTCTTCCAGAAATGTCCGCTCTTTAGATCTTTTGGTCTTTCCCACTGCCTCTGTTTTTCTCACAGTGGGAAAGACACGTTAGTGGCGGCTTCCTCCCCTCAGGCATGTTTAGCGGTCTTGTGAAGTAATGTATGGAAACACGAGGCGTGATGTGGGGAGGCTTCACCGGAGGTTTGCAGTGGCCACATCTCGGATGTATGAAACCGCTGGTGGACAAGAGATGAGTAAGGACTGACGCCGGCATTAACTACACTTGCTTTCGGCCTAGAGGAGCTCGTTGGTTAATAGTTTGTACGAGTGGCCAGTATCTCAGATCTCGAGACTTGACTAGTTTGTATTTTAAAGAGCACTTTGCAAAGAAGTGCTAACAAAGCACGGAGGAAGGACGCACAGCTTAGACATCAGAAGCAATCATGAAACATAATGAAAATAAGGATGTAGTTCAAATTACGAGGTAAAAGCAATGGAGCATATAGAAGCCAATGAATAAGAATGTGGACTGATTCAGCTGATTTCTGCGTTTCACTCCATCACTGCTGCCACTGATGCCGTTGCTGTGTTAGGGTTTGATTAGGTTCAGGCAAAAGACGGAAGTTGCGAATCAATAAATGACAAAAAAAAAGAGGTCTTGACATTCGAAAAATGAAAATGAAGAATTACCGTCCAAAGTTTTGAGCCTGTGTAATATGTTATATTGCTCTTGCCTTTTTTTTTGACAGAAGGGGAGTAATTCACACATCAACTAGAAATCCGTCTTAATTAAATGTAAACACGGACTATACCCGAGAAGGAACCAATAAAGCAGCAAGAACAACACGCAGCATTCCCTCGTTGAGAGCCTCACATGAATCTCCTTCTGTAGTTCAAGTCCTCCTCAAGATTATACGTAATAATGTACATTAACAAATTAGTACTGCTTCTGAAAAGAAGGTCACAAATAGACCGGGATTACTGGAGGAATAAATAAATAGATGAAAGAAAAACACAGCCGCTGAACAATTTACAATGCAATCAGTTAACAAACCATGATGCCATTGAATGTTGAAAGCCCACATTAATTGCATAGGATCATGTTACAAGCAGTTTCTACAACACCTCTTTTTCCAGTAGCTTCCTCAAATAACGTCCCCACACGAACACAAATGCCATATAACACCATGAAAATTAAACCCCTCCCCTTCCCCACGGATCCGCCCCTTACCGGAGTGAAGTTCATGACTTTGAGGATCCAGATGGTCAGCGCCAGGTTGACAATCATGGTGACGAGAAGGAGGAGGATGAAGAAGTACAAGCACCTCTTCCTCCAGCCGTAGATCCCCACTGCCGGGTAGACCTGGGCGCCGCACACCGACGCGCCCCGCTGGTGGAGCGGGTTGGGCTGCGCCGCCAGGATATACTGCTCCTGGGTCATCTGAGAGGGACACAAATATCAGACTTATTCCCATCCTCATCGGCATCAGTATCATTAGTAGTCGTTGTACAGTAACTGTGATTATAAAAGGCTTTTGGATTCGCATTTTTCTAACATTGTGCATCCATTTCAAGTGAATGACATTCCCTAAAATATGAGGCTGGAGTCGCTAACATGATTGTGAGTCATCAACTATGTTCATACTCTAGATGTGAGAATACATACGGATGTTACTAAACAAGCATAGTGTTTTTCATGCATTCAGTACATCGTGATTTTGGGTCGTGGCTTTGGAGACGATGGAAACCGCATGTGAATATCGAGAGAAAAAGGCCGAGGCAGGTAGAAGGGAAATGCGAGGCGTGAGGAGGCAAAGCGTGACGCACCAAGCGAGCCTGACCGAAGTGAGAAAGGCCGAAACGTGATAAAAATGAGATAGAAGCGGAGCGGTGAAGTGGAGAGATAGCACGGCATCGAGTCGCCGGAGATAGAAAGGGAGGATGGAGGGAGAGAGAAGGAGTAGATAAGACAGCAGGAGAGGACAGAGTCCATTAGTTGTAGTGCAGCAGGAGGAGTCGTTGGTGGTACGAGATATGGACACTAGCTCCAAGGCACTGCTATCTGTGTCCATCTCCGACTCTCTAACTCTCTCTACCTCGAATGCTCTTTCTCCCTAATTCACTTCCTATCTCGCTCCTGCACCTCCCTCCTTCTTTATCGGCCTCTCTCTCTCTCTCACATTATGTCTTTATTTGCTGAGACTGCATGACCTTAACACCTCACTGACTGTTATTCCACGCCTCGCCGCGCCCCCCCTTCCCTTCCCCTCTATGCTATTTTCTCCATATAGTCTCACATGATGATACAAACACGCCTTGATGGGAAACAAAAATGCTGACTAATGCTTTTCCTGAAGAAAGAAAGAAAACACAGACCTGGAACATCTTTTGTCGGCTTTTCGCTTGAGTCTCATTTGAAGTAATCGGGGGTCCTGTTTCTTTCTTATTGGGCTACGCACACACACTTTTAGAACGTCAAAATGTCAATGTTGTTGGGTGTTTTGGAGATTGAGATGGGGATTTAATCTGATCATAGATTAGACTGTTAAACTATTCAAATGGGCTTCTAAAAAATAGGCCATTGATTTCACATAAAAAAAGGTAGGCACACTTGACAACATATCCAGCAGAAGACAACGGAAACATGAGGCTAACACATTTTTGTGTTAAAAGTTTCACTTCAGGAGCAAATTTGCCAGACTGGGTGACTGAACACACATCAAATCCAGGTGAAAAAAATGCACCCAAGTTGCAGCTGTACTCAACAAACCACAACATCTCTGCAGAAAGACATGAATAGGTTTGCCTGCAGTAACTACGAAGAGTGAGAAGCTAAGCAACAAATATTTGTTCAAAATGGATGGCAAGACAATTTACATTTAATTTCAGTTTTAAAGAAGGTGACGAAAGGATATTTTACAATCCTCCTCTTTGAAAAAGGAAAGATGGACCTGATTTTAATGTGCATACCAATCACGCACTTAATAGTTACCATCCAATTACTTTAATATTACGCTGGATGTGGGACACATATTTATGCCAACTGGAGAGGACTTCATTTTTGTGAAGTGGGCAAATGGATTGTTGATGATTTCCCTTTTCAAGGAGAAAACCTTCCCTGTCATGTGCTCAGCTGGTTTATATGTTGCACATATTTGGGTCCACCTGTTTGTCTGTGCAAATACATATGAATCAATAGAATAGAGCAATGGCCCCATAATTAAGCATGCAATTTTCTCAAGGGCAAGAATGCGAATCAGCAAAAGAACCACAAAACTCTGAAAACAAAAAACTATTTTCTTTTCTTATTCTCTTTTTTTGTTTGTGATTCAGATGAATTGTTTTTGCACACTATACAAGTCATTTGTATTTGTGTCTTGGTGCACAATGATCCACAATTGGCTTAGAAACACATAATTTGCAATCACTTTAAAGATTGTGCGTGGTAACTTTTTTCAATTACAATTAGTGGCGTGCTCTGTGACTGAGTCATCCATCGCGTTGCATATGTAGTTACGTTGTGTGTCTCATTTCACTCACAGCTACGCATGGTTATCAATCTTACTCAACATCTTGACAACATTTCATTTTCTCCTCCCCCAAAGTTTCCCTATTCCGTGTATCATATTCGTCATACTTTAGTCACCCCCTTCCTTCCATCTCATTCCTTCCTTTGCCTCCTCCTTTGTATTTTTCCTTGTTTGCCATTATTATAACCAGTGTTGGGCAAGTTACTGAAAATGAGTATATAGTTACAGTTACTTCTTACTTCTTTTAAAGGTAATTGAATTACTTACGAGTTACTGTGTATCAAAAGTAATTAGTTACTGTGGAAAGTAACTTTTAAGTTACTTTTATGTCTGCTTTTTAAATGAATGTAAATAGTACTGAACAGTCAAACACAATGAACATTTTTTTAGACCTATTTATTGTAATCAACAGGCCTTCAAATCAAGCAATAGCCCTTTTTAATATTAAACTTAATACAGAATAACTGTTTCAGGCATTTGCCTGAAGGCAACTGACTCGACAGTTGACAGGATTCATCTCATCTTCAACATAGCGAGCGATCAATCTATGCAGCTCTTCCCGGTTTATCGGCTGCACTGCAGTCCGTGTAAAGTGGAGCCCTGGTTGTTTGCGTGGAGCGGCGCCTGCAGCATCCGCGGGCCTGCGCTCTTTCGTCATGAGCGACGCGATGCTGTTTACATGCACGTATGGCGACTATTCTGTGACACACAACGTTTGGTGGCCACAACTATTTTGTGCTGACAGGCAGCTATTTACTTACTATTTGCCGGCCCTCCGGTTTGCGCCACAAAAGACAGTAACGGGAGTAACAAACTCATTTCAATTTCAGTAATTGTAACTGCGTTAATTTATTTAAAAAAATACTTCGTTACATGCTCGTTACCGCTAAAAGTAGTGGAATTACAGTAATGCATTACTTTGTATCGCGTTACTCCCCACAGTGATTATAACCCTCTTTCTTTTCAGTCATTGCTTTCCCTCTTAGTTCACATTTAAAGCATCTGTCCTCTCACCTTCCTCTTCCACCGTTACAGATCCATCTCAACTCCATCTCCACATTCTTCCTCCTCCGGCTTTCCTCACTTTCATTTTGCGTCATTCAGTTATTCCTCCCCACTCTCTGTTTATAACCAATCCATTACTTTCTTTTTTACTTCCCTTCCTCTGTCCTCACACTCGTCCTTCCCTCCTTTGCTCTTGTAATCACAGCCTGATCTAACTACATAAACATAAGGACATTTTGACAGCCATAAGTACAGCTGCTGTTAGCCTTTCATCACCATGATCACCATTACGCTGTGCCATCAAGTGTGATAAAATCAATGATCTCAGTACATCCATATCCTCAGTAGATCTACATTAGACATAAACTCCATTATTTTTCATTTAGCACTATTTGTGAATGTATAAGGTTTGACCTTTCCTCTGCGTGGATTGGTTACAGAGGCCATCAGGGTAACGCAAGAGTACTTTCACATAAAAATAACTCTTATCATGACAAAGTGGTTGAACACATCCACACGACAAACCGACACAATGTAACACAATGAGACGCGGTATCCCTGCATGGCACCAGACTGAAGCTGAGCTCTTCACTGTGAGGATTAGACAGCAAGACAATGAGAGGAAAGGAATAAGAACAGAGGCGACGAAGGAGAGCTGGAAGAAGACAAAAATAAGAAAGAAAGGAATGTATATGATCGTGACCTAAATGCAACCCTGCAAAGCCTCAAAATGAGGATCACAATACGAAAACATCAACCAGAGCAAATGACAGAAGATGAGAGGACAGGATGCATTACTTGAAAGGATTTTTTCATCTTTCAAGGAGCTCAATTTCACATGAAATTCAAAATGCACAATGCGAATGAGTTGCCGTGAGAACAAGTCACAAGAGAGAATAAAAAAAAAAAAAACATGACTTGGATGTGACTGGGGGAATCACTTTAATGATGGCAAGACTTGATTATGAATAGTGTCTCAGTCACCTGCTGTGATTGTAGTTCTGTGGGCATTTCCCTTTTCTATGTTAACTTAAGCTTCTCATGCATGAGTCATTTCTGAAAACTGGAACACTGACGCAAAGTGTCCTCCTCTCTCTTTATGCAACTAAATACATGTTAATACATGCGGAACGGGGGACGTGTCCGGTCCGATTCAGCTTGGTGGGAGTTGTGAATGTGAGCAAGCAGAGTGCACACACACACACACACACACACACACACACACACACACACACACACACACACACACACACACACACACACACACACACACACACACATGTGCTACCTGATACTGTTTATTAATGAATTGGCCGAAATTGGTGGACACAGATGGATTTGACGTGGACGCTGGATAAGGAACAAAGGAGAGGACGGGTGGACTTCGATGCACAGCTGAAGTGCGTATCAAGGTGCAATCAGCTCTGAGCGCGTGTCCGGCACCGCGTGTCTGTCGGCACTCAATCGATACCAGCGCTTCAACATCGCTCCGCTTGCGAGGGCTTTGACATTCTCCCCCCGTTTCTCTTCCCCGTCGGCATCCCTAGTGCCGGCTTTCCCGGAGAGCATTAACTATGCGTAGTCGAGAGATAAAGATCAACCACGGCGGTGTTTTAATGTATTTTTTGGGGTGAAGGTGGCATTTGGAGATTCAAACCAAAATAATGTACCTTCTTTTCTGCAATGAGTGCTACTGCAAGTACTGTGCAATTCTGCCAACTTAATATAAAGTGGCTTAATAAATTGCAGGTCTTGCGTTGATATCTGCATAGTATTAATGTTATTATGTTATTGTGTTGAAATAGCACCTAAAGGTTTAACCAGCTATTTAAAGCAACTATTGTTCCATAATGTATTTGCATTTTCAGTATAGAAAGGGACAGAATAGTCCGAACTTGGGTGGGCA